CTTCCCCCTCCCCTCCGGCGGCGAAGCGCATGCGCACGAGCATGCGCACCCTCCTTCCCCCGCACCAGGTGCCCGGTTCGAGTCCCAGCCCCGGCGCCGCGCGGGCCGGTCAGCAGTTTTGGCGGGCAAACGGCCGTTCTGTGCAGCCTTCTGTCAGACGGCGAACGGAGCTGAAACCCCCCCAAATTATAGGAGCTTTTATACGCAATAACACTGCAGCTATCCTCACTTTCTGCCTGGTTTTTGCAGCTTTGCTCTTTCACTCTTACCAGGATAACTTTCCAGCTGGTGGCAGGGGAGGAAGTTCAAGGCTTACAATAGGCGCTACATCTTCTCTGATACGAAATTAAATTGAGGAAAAGAAGAGAAATACTAACTACAGAAGTCCATGCTGCGGTGTTTACCGTGAACAACTAATTTCTTATTTCTGCTTTGGCAAAGTGGGAGTCGAAGGCTAACCAGGCTGTGGAGGAGCTGTACGGAACAGGTTTTGGCATCAGCAATGACCCTTCCATGCCTTAAACTGATTGGAATGTGAATGTGAAAGAAGCAAAAACGCCCTGACCACTTGTATGGGAAAACGTGTATGAATTCAAGTCCCAGGAAAACACTGAAATGCACAGAAATTGATATACCTGCGGGCAGACCCTGTTTCACTGAAATCACGAGGCAGATTCACAGGGAAACAATTATGCCTATGTGAATATAACACTGGGCTGTAAGAATACCAAAGCAGCTACAAGTCTGTGCTGGTGGATGTAAGGTCTGTGGAGAACCCCACAGCTGGTTAAGTCAGTTTGCAGCACGTCTACTCAGCCTTGTAGGACGAGTGTGGTGTGTGGGAGTTTTGGAGAAGAAACAGGTGGGGAAGAACAGATTTTCTTGTTTTGCTGTCTGTAAACTTTCAGACCCACCCACTTTCTCTCAGAGTTTGTTACTGCTAGTGGATTAGATTTTTAATAAAGGCTGCTGGAAAATGTATTCACTTTTATCACGGAGAAATTACTCGAAACTGCTGCTAATTTCAGGAATGGTTGAAATTGCAAATAAAAAAAAAATATGATTTTCAAGAATAATTTCCTTTGTTCCCCTATGCAGTTTCTTTCGACTGTACAATGTTGCACACTACAGAGCACAGCAGCAGGGGGAGCTCGTGCTCCAAACAAAAGAGACCAGGCGGCGGGGCAGGAGAAAGACCAAGGCGATCCCAACTCGGAGAGAAGGAAGTTAGGGGGAATAAGGAGAAAGGTAGTTAAGTGCCCCGCTCAATTGAAAGGGATCAAACACGCGAAAAATGCAAGAGAGAAAAGATGTAACATATGAAAGACAGGAACACATAAAAAAGGACAGGGAATCACCATTCTGTCTGACACAATCTCAGTGAACGCTTTCAAAGCAGCTTGGGTTTTGCAGGTCTGAAGAATAAAGAGTTTCACCTTTCATAGATGTGTAGTTTAAAATAGTATTTTGGATTCAGCCTACTGACATATGAGGAGCAAAGTCAGACCGTGCAAGGAAGCCAGAGCTGGGTTAGCTAAATCCATGTTTCTGAGCCCATGTACGACTACGAAGTAGTAGGGCATACAAAGCTGGCCCTACTCCTCCTTGGCAGTTCAGAGTTTGTTTGGACTTGCATTATTTTGATCTGCCATCAGATCTTAGGCCTTAAAAATACCAGCTTTTCATGTTTCTGTACCATAGCAGCAATAATCTACCCCAACCCTCTGAACGTAAGCTGTCAAACAACCACAAAATCAGAGACAGGGAGGAAAATTTGTAGAACAGAGAGTAAGTAGGTAAGAGACTCCAGGACAGAAAGAAAAGAAGCGGCTTTATTGAGAGACAAATGCAGAGTGAACTTTGCATCATATTATCCACATTGCTGCTGACTTATAGAGGGTTTTGTTTGCTTTGACAGATAACCCACAACCTAAACTGCAGCAATTAAACATATTTTAAAAGTAATCCTTTTGTTGCCCTTGTTTTTGGAGGCATGGCAATAATTAAAACATTGCGAAATAATTTAATAATCAGAGGTTCTTAATATTATAGTAGCATAAAGGTGTTTTACATTGCTTTAAGTACATATCCAGTTAGGGAGAGCATCTGAGCACCAGTATAACTCTGACCCACAAGGAACTATTAAATTGGTATGGCAATAGAAATAAATAGATAATTCTGCATTTTGCCAACACTGAGGGGCCAGTAAATGGGATTTTTAAATCCAAAGGAAACATGAGGTTGCAGTCCAGATTAAACTGAGTTAAATGTAGGTTGCCCTGTAAAAGGAAGGTCCCCCAGCCCCTGTTTCCAGCTTTGCTTCCTTCCCCCCTCCCTTTTGCCTGTGCCTGCAGCATGAAACTGAAACTGATATGGCTGAAAATTGTTATTTTTGCACTGATTTTTTTTTTTTTCACGAGTTAGATTTCAGCCAAGTTGGAACAGAGCGCCACTTCAGACAGAAAAGAACTTTTGTCGTTGGAACCAAGGGGGAAGAACTACCCCTCTGACAGCCCACACTCAGATCAGATGAAATTGGTTCTGAAACTACAGCTTGACACATGAATATCAATCAGTGAACCACTTTAATTATTAAACCAGGAACCTCAAAAGCTTTTGTAGAAGCTTGCATATAAACGTGCTCACAGTGATATGCTACAGATGAAGAAGATTGACAATAATATATCTCTATTTACACTCTGACCAGTCAGTGAAGTTCATAATAAGTGAGGCTGGATAAACATGACACTGATGTGCAGAACATTCTTTATCAGCTATTTGACCTTCATAATCTATAATCATATTTCTTCTGAATGAGAAATCAGTTTCTTAAATTATTTCACTTTTAAAATTTAAACATATAAACCCATGACAAATGTTGGTTCTCTTCCTTCCCTCTCCCCCCCCTCGTTCTGTAAATATCCTACTTGTGTATTCACTCTACGAGACATGAATTGTGCAGTACGTGCATAGTGGGTACAGTCTATGTCCATAGCTCTGTAGTTGTCTGTATCTTCTCTAGCTTTTTCCAGTAAAGAGGTGTAACTAGAGGGACTTCCTTAAGTGTTCTTGATTTCACTTGTCACTCTGAAATTTCAAAATCTTCTTGCTGGTTTCTGTAGCAGTTCTGTCCTTCCAACAGATAGCACTGAAGATCTAACAATAGCTGTGAGGGACAACATCACCTCAGAAACACACAGTGTATACATCGAACCCTGTACCGTCTTTCACAGACAAGAACACACCAAAGAGATCATTCAGTACAGCTCTGCTACTTTGCAAGATTTTCAGAGAAGAACTGCTATTGCCAGACTCTGAGTATACTTTGAAGTACCAGATGGGAAAAATCTTGTACGTATTTTTCTAAATTAAACGAGTTATTATCATAGTTTTTTTTTAAAAAATATCTGTACTGTATACATCTCAACACCTGTCTGCCTGAGGTAGTGGAAGGACCAGGAGCTGGTATCACATCCACTGTTTGGTAGGACAGAGGCAGGGGAAGCAGTTTAGACCAGAAGAGTGACCTACTCTATAGGCCAAGGAGGCTGTAGTTGACTTGAGCCATATACCCATTAAAGTAACAACTCATAGCTCAACACAAACTGGAGTCAGTAACTGGGGCTGTATGCTCACAAGTCCCACTGGTCACCATCTTCTGTCCACAGCTGGACAGGCACAGACTTATCCTGGGAACTGGATGCCTTGTCTTTCCTCTCCTGTCCCCAAGACACACTTCTTTGCACAAGCTTCTCCGACAGGAGGGGGAGGAGCCTTCATCTTCCGCTCAACAGGAATCTGTATGAATATTCTCCTAACCCTCCTTTCCTGCAATTCAGGACCATTATTTCTTATTCTGTGTTCAGAGAACATGCAAAAGAGTTTACTTTCATCTGATTTATTGCTACCATTTTATAAGGAAAAATCTATTGCTACCACTTCCATTATTCTACATCCCTCTTTTCATGCCTAAGAGTTCTAGGAGAACTGAACACCAGGTATGTGTCAGGACTGGAATTTTACTCACCGTGAGCAGGTCTAATGATTGTAATGGCTGGAATGCAAAAAGACAACAACAACAACAGAAAATAAATAATCACTTTTAGGGCAGATGCAGTAAAACTGTAAGCCAAATATTCCTCCCCTCCTCTAAGCCAAAGCCTAAGATTTTAATATTAATAATAAATGGTAATCGTGTGTTGGTGCTTTTCAAAATTCCTTGGGCATCATGAAAGATAAAAGAAAATGCCCTGTGGGTAGATTATGATGACTCTTAGCCCTATTAGTAAACAACAATTAGTAGACACTGGAATATGCTGCATGGCAAGTTGTACCAACACATCATAATAGCAGCGGGCAGAAACTATTCCTAAAATAATGAACACACTACTAAGTATATCTTCCCTCATCCATAAATGAATTCATGGACTGTTTTTATTATATGACTCTGAGTTGAGAGTCATACTATGACAGCTACTATAGATTTTATTTTTATCACTTAATATTTTAAAGTAATGAAAACAACTTGTTGGTCAAATAGTTACACCGGCAAAACTCTGTTTTTGCTGACAGAGGTTGTTTCAACCAAGAGCACAGAAAGACCAGGTAATTTTAACAGACTAAGAAAAAGCAGTTTGTTGATACAGCTACACCCATGTTTAAGAGTGCTTTTGCCAGTACAGCACCCCAGTGCTTTTTTACTACCAAATCCTTCCAGTGTAAGTCCAGCCAACTTGCTCCAAAGGCAAATGGCCTGGGGATTTACAAGTCTTTCTCAGTCTTGTAAGTCTGTGTCCAA